TTTGGATTGAAAAACAAGGTCATGCGAAAATAGACTTTCTTCACGCAGCACAAGATAGGAAGAATTGGCGTATCATGTTAGCCAACGTCTGTAACAGATAAGGCACCTATCTGATCTGATCATAGATAAGTAATTCGGATTAAACTAAAATCAACAACTTTGATTTTGAAATTTTGATTAAAAACAAATTCAATAGTCGTTATTATAAACTCTTTAAATTTTTAACCAAAACAAATACAAAAACAAAAATATATTTATTGAGATATTTTATTTTTCACCCACCCTAGATTATTGTGTCATTATATGGTAAATATTTTATTATTTTTATTAAATTAAATATCTCAATAAAGATATTTTCATTTTATTTTTCAAATATCAACGATCTATCTAATAACAATAAGAGTCTATCTATAGAGAAAATGTCAATTTTTATTTTTTTTAAAATATCTAACGTAAGTCTCAAAAAAGAAATGTTTCATTAAAAAACGCATAATTCTATGTTGGATGATTAGACAATAATTTCAAATATTTAATATTAATTATAAGTTTGATGAATAATTGTTTGTAATCATAATATGAACTCGAACGATATTCGATATTCGATATTCGATAGTTGGATATGTTCGATGATTATAAAATGTTTAATGTTTAATGTCTAATGTTAAATATTGAAATTTTCTATTTAAACAAACTGATAGAAATAGAAATTTTATTTTTTCATTCGAAAATAAACCAATCAATGATTTTTTTTTTCTTTTAATACATAAAACGTCTTTATTTAATTTGGTGTCGTTGTTACATTACTATTTAATAATTGATTTTGAAATAATTGTAAATATTGTTGTCTAATAGATTCATTTTTGTCCCATTCAAATTGAAATGTATTTTGTTTTTCTATTTTATTTCTAAGATAATCTGGTTTTAGACAATATTCTTTTAATTTATTAATTAATTGTGTTTTAGTTCTATATCGATGTTGTTCATTAGGATAAATTTCTGTATAAACTAATCTATCAGGTACAATAGGAACACAACCAGCTCTACAAGCTTC